ATTTCAACTTTTGGTTTACTTTTTTTTTTGGCATTTTATTCGTTGAGTTTGTTTTTTCGAAAAGAACCTCCTTTCGGTTCAATTTTAAATCCAAAGATTTGAAATTCGCGAAAAGAAATGCTGAATTAGAAATTAAAAGTCATTTTTGAAATTTTCAATATCAAAAATCAATAATGTGTCTGTAATTTGCTTTCGGTAATAGTCGAAGTGATAGCAGTGCTTCATAAAAGTGAGCATCCTCTGGCAAGACTGTTGATGGCTCCTTTATCTGAGGATTGCTTAGTTTTCAGTGTAGAATGCTAGGGATGACGGACGTTGGGCATTGAACTGTGCGGTTCTTCTGAAGCCCTTTGCAATGTTTTGTTTCAGAGAAGACGTGTCGCCGCCGACATCAGCCAATTCAAATATATCCTCTTCAACAGTCACCTTATCGGCACCATCAATTACTTGCAAAAAGCCAACGCCAGTGAAGCCATCTGATCGGTTAGATATTCACTGAGACTTGCTTGAATTTAAATTTGGTTAAAACAGGTGCTATAGTCAGGTAGAAATGAGGTAAAACCTGTCGAAGTTCTACCTTTTCTGCTTATATTACTAGTTTGTTACCCTTTCCCAAGAATTCTAAATTTAATGTGACAGTAAAAGCCCTTCCTTTTCTTATCGTCTTCTCTTCGTTTCTCTCTCTTTTCTCCTCCCTAAACACCACGACCGTCATATTGACGAGGTTTAACCATGGTGTTGAGCTAAGACGTATATGACTTCATAGACCGAAACTTCTTAGCTCACTATTTCCATATTCATTCATACTTATTTCGCCCTGTGCTTTCGTTTCCTAAGCTCCAGACATCTACTTGTATGCTACAATTAGCTTAGGAATGTATCAGTGTATGTTGCGAACGAGTTTAATATATGGAAAATTTGAAAAAAGCAGAAAAAAAAAACTGAAAGGGGTGAAAGAAAGAGAGATGGCGAGAGAAGAAAGAACGTGATAAGAATTTTTATCATACGGAAGTTGAGGAAAATAGGACACTTTCATGCCTTGATCATTAATCGTCCCGTCTTCGAATTCCGTCCTTTCCAATGAAATATCTTTTTGTCTGTTCTCCATTTGAACTTGTAGCATTCGCCTAGTTCCATGTAGGCCTTTCACTGCAGAAGATTTTTTTTTACCTTATGAAGAAATCATTTGCTGACCCTCTGCGTCTTTCTGTTATCAGTCATTTTTGTCATTTGATCAGTCAGTTTTTATGCGTTTTGTGCTGTGTAATAGCAGTACAAAGCCTACGGCTCCGTGAAAATTTTGGTGGGGAAATTATTATCTCGGGAACCACAAAAGCCAGCAAACTGAAATTTTATGGTAGTGTATTCTGTCTACATTCAATCCTGCAATTTTAAATTCAGCTTCTCGCGCGTTTGAGTATCACTTACGACCCTGTGGAAGTTTCGGCGGGGAAAATCATTATCTCAGGGACCGCGGAAGTTGAGATCTGAAATTTTAGAGTAATTTCCTCTACGAACGTACGACCTTTATGCACCACTGGATACCACGTACAGCCTCGTGGAAGTTTTGACAGAGAAATTATTATCTCATATACATGAAATTTTAGTGGGAATTTCCGCAACTTAAGGACCAGGCAACATTTTAACTATTTTTGCAAAGACCAAAGTGTAAAGCAATGAAAATCATTAGCAGACTATCGTTCGGTGAAC